TATTAAATTGTAATCACGTTAAATACAAATTCAGTCCCATTAAGCATTTTTTTTTTAGCCTACATGACACCCATGTCTGGTTCTTGCCTAAAAAGACGGATGTATGATGTTTAATACATTTGGCTGCTTTTAGCCTTAGCCTGGAGTTGGTTCACCCTCCGCCTATGGTGTTAACTATATTTTACGAGTGATGTCTGATGTTTAGGACGAACAAGGATTATGCACTTTCCCCGCAGCAGCTCACTCTGTGTCCTCGGCTATTTTTCAGATGTGCTCGTATCTGTAAACGGTATTGCCTGTATCGTTTGTAAAAAAAATATCAATAATTATATCGTACAAACTCGATATACCGCCCAGACCAACCAGGTTGCTTCAGGGAACTGTTCTTGTATTGTACAGTAATTCACTTAAAGTGACAATTCAACCAGAAACTCACCTGGCTTATTTTGTTACAAACTGTATGACTTTCATTCTTCTGAAAACAAAATAGAAAGAAGATATTTTGTGTTAACAGTTTTGGTGGCTTTTCACTTGAATGGATTTTTTTTTTTTAAGTTCCTTAACAGAAAGTTTATTTGATTTTTTATTTCATTAAGATCTGCCTCATAATAGAGTTTTATACTTTTTATTTCTAAGTCTTTAAGTATTTTTAAAAATTGTTTCAGCCATAAACACTTAATATTTTTCTAAATATATGTACGATTAATTCTAAGACTGGAAAATTAGTTAAATGATTGTAAAGAAGAGGATTTTTATTTTATTTGCTTAAGTATTTTTTTTAAATGATTAATTGATTTTTATATAGGGTAAGGTGCCATTCATTTAAAATACGTTTGCATTCCAATATGCTGCTTTTTAATATTGGAATGTTTTTCTCTGTGAACATGCACTATGAACGTGTTTGACCATGGCGCTTATGGTCAAGTTAAAAGAAGTTCAGCTTTTAAAAACCGTGTCTCTACAACATTATTTTTATTCCACTGCTCTGCGTCTCACATTTTTAAATGCAAAAACACATTCTTGTGTGGACGGCCCCTAAGTCATCAGTAATCTACTTTTGTAGGATGGTTCACATAAAATGTGTCGTGTCACCCAGGGCCGTTGTCAGGGGCTTGGGGAAATGAGGGGAGCTACTGAGGTCTTCTATGGTGTAGCCTACTCACTTGGCCTTGGCGAGCAGGGTGGGAATATTGTTCCAGCCCCTTTGAATTTAACTGACACACCCATGAAATTAAATACTTTGCGCAAGACTGTAATATCTGTATTTGGTGGCCATGTTGTAATCTCACTCTCTCTCTCAGTCTGTCTAACTGTCTGTGAGTTGTGTGCTGGTAAATTAACACTGCTGTGCTCTTTTCATTAGCACCTCACAGTAAACAAAGCTGCCTTATGTGATGTTATTCTGTCCCAGTCAGAATCATCCCAGCTGCCTGCATGACAACACAATACAAGCCTAGCAAATTATTTACATACAAATATACACATAATAAAATCATATTTTTCATTTATACTCTGAATCTCGCTGGTCACACTCGCTTCCTCCCATTCGCGCACATGTAGAAATATACTAACAGACACACAGATTGATACTTCTTACTGTGTTTTCAGTTTGTAATAGTTTTTTTCACCCCTCTATTTTTGGCTTTGTCACCCCCTCGTCCCGCTCCATCTCTCCCTTGCGCTCTCTCTCTCTCTTTTAATTCCTCCCATTTTACTCACCCCCTGCACTCTTTCATGTTCTCTCCATCACCCTCCCACCCCTGTGGTGACTCCATCTGGAGGTCATACTATGAAGGGCACTAAAGAGGAAGGGAAAGAGAGAGAGAAAGAGAGGGATGAATGCACGGATGCATGGATGAATAAATGGATGCAAAAGCATCTTGCAACTACTGACATGACCAAAGGGAAAAAAACTTTTTGG